CAGAATATTTAATTTTACACAGGAGACATGAAGATAGAGATGAGCATTATTTTATTCCGAACAACAAACCTTAAGGAAGTAGTTGTTATTGTTATTGCAGTTGCCAGAGACTCCTTGCATTTCAGTCACAGTGTTCTAAAACAGTTGACAATAAAAATTAAAGACAGCTTTCCCCACCTACCGAGAGCAGCCTGATGACAACAGACACTTTTGAGCATTATGAGAATATTTCTGTAGCTTCTACTATTAGACACTGTCTCTGTTATAGACACAATATAAAGTAAATGAATACTATCAAATTTCACATCATTAAAAGGGCATCCAATAATTTTTATAATCTCTTGTTCATCCAACACAAATTGTTTCCAAGAAGGTACAGCAAACAGTATGAGTCAAATTTAGTGCTACTAAATTTCTAGTACTACTCACATGAAAATCATATTATAGACTTCATAATACCTGTATAAATCATACAGTTCTTATTTCTGTCTTTAATTATCATATAATGATAAACAATAAAAGTGTATATCGATATAATTAGCTGCTTTAAACTGTACTTAGTGGTCAATAATATTGCTCCCAAACAAACCAATATCATGATATGTTATAATATTAATTTTCAGGAATTATAAAGCTATGAAAAATTGAAGTCTATTTTGCAGAGATATTTCAGTTTTTCAAGTAATAACTGATTTTGTCATGAACTATTTCATAAACAGATTTGAAAATGTCATCTATACTACTTTAAAATGTAATAAAAATTTCACTTTAAAAAATTATTTTATAAAGTAATTATATCATTTAAAAAGTGAAACAGTATAATCTGACAGAACGAGCATGTCTGCTTTCTACTTCATATAAGTGATCCTGTATCAGTTCATATTTCATTTCTAGTCTGAACCCATAGAATTTCAAATTATATAATGCTGTATGATTGAAAGACATGTAAATATATTCCACACTCCATAAAACATACATTAGAAATGCCCCATTGCAAAATGTACAACAATGAATTAATGTAAATCCAAAGTCTTTGTAAAATTTCATTAATAAAAAATGAAAAAAACATAAATGTCCCTTTGCACCACTATAAAGTTAAATATTGACAGTTGTAAATTACTATGGAATTATTAAATTTGTCTTAAAAATTAAAAATCTTGTGGAAAAATTTATCACATCCTCAGAATTTCATGAGATAGTGCCGACTGTTTGAGGGGGATAGTCAAATCCTCCTAGGTTACCCTTCAAAATTCTTAGGAAGAAAAAGAAAATAAAAGACAGAATGAAAAAGAGCAATAATTCAATTAAATGTAGCAATTATACCACTAATCAGAGATGCATTAATTTTTTAAAACCTCTTCAAGTTTATACCTTTCTCAAAAAATGATACCATGAATCATAATCTCATTAGCATTACTTTAAAATTCTTCAGATTCATATCTTTTTCTTCTTTATGTGATCCCAGTGTTGTTTTCCAAAATTTACAGTTACTTAAAGTTCTTCTACTTCAGAATGTTTAACATAGGGTGAACAGGAAAATGAAAATAAATTAAAATTAAAGAAACTTTTTATTTATTTAAAAATTAGTTTAAGGATCTGGATGAAGAAAAATTAAATCATTTACAGGTTATCTATAGATTCAAATTTTACTGGAATATGGTTTAAGAGTATTTCCTCAAACATTACAACATATATACTTACGAAGACATGCTAAACAGTTATTACTGCTAAATTGGTTTCAATAGAGAAGCATTGTACTTGGGAATATATTTCTCATATTGCAATGTTTTCCCTAGTCAATTCAAGCAAACAGCTTCATGCTGGATGTGACAAGTTCCAAGTTGGAATCGATCTTGGGTGATATGATAAAAAAAACTGAGGCTATCCATGGTTCATAAGACAAGGGTGATCTAACTTCTGGCTCCAGAAATCAGCTGGATGAACTTGTGCTCTGCCTTTGATTAAATATATTTTTGGCTAGTCCAGGGACTGTTACAGAGGACACAGTGTCAAATAAAAATTTAAGAAATCATAAGGTGATTGCGTAAATTATAGGAAAAGGGTAAGATTTATTACTTATGCTCAAGACTTATTCAAGCACATGTTAAAATATATATATATATATATTCAATCACAAATGAAATTAATTATTCAACGACCAGCATTTGCTATATTATACTGGCTCTTAATGTTTCTTGGATATTTTACTTTTCACTCACAGAGAAAAAACTATATATAGGAATGTAACATTTAAACTAATCAATATCATAATACTTGGTAGGAATAGTATTAAAGCTTTATTATACATGGAAGTGATTTTCATTATTTGTACAGTTTTCATTTCATTTTTCCTATATGCAGAAAAACAATGGTTGGTTTTATTAGGCCTGTTTTTACCTGGATATGTTTGGTGGGGTGAAAAATAAAGAAAACACAAATCAAAGAGAATGCTGAAAGTTATGTACAAAGGAAAAGACTCCTTGACCTTCTTAAGAAAGTGAGGGTTACTATGTGAAATAACATAGAGGCAAGCACTCAATTTCTAAAGCTTGACAGGGAAAAAAACTAAGCCACCGTTAAAATTTTAAATTTTCTTAAAGAAAGTATTTGTTTACTCAATTATTCTTCACTTTAAATACTATACCCTTTTGTCTAAAAATTAATTCAACAAGTATTCTAATGCCCCTATTATTAGGAATATAGAATTTAAAATCTTACAGAATAAAAATACTATTGGAAACCCTGTAAACAGGAAGCCTCATTCCAACGTCTCTTGTGACTCAGTTATCCTGTGTGTGCCTGAACAGAGCTAGACTTATCAGAAGTGTATTAAAAAATGGTACAATGTCTGTGAAGACTCCAGGCTCTTGGGAAACCCTATTATTCCAGTCCTAACTTTGCTAGCATTCTCTGTCTTTAGGGAAAGCCTCAGGAGCTGAGGCTTTTAACAGGGGGGGAAATATCCCTTCTACCTGCTATATAATCATGTAGAAAAGGCACCTTGAAAAGTGTGTGGCATGGAAAATTTACTCACATACCCCTGGAAATGTCTGTAAAGTGACAACTCTGATTTCCTTAGAGAAACAAGTGAACAAAACAAATCCTCAGCAATCTTCCATTTGTTGTGATGTGCTACTAAGCAGAAATTGAGTAGCAACTATTTAGTTCCTATTTATTAAAAAATATTCATTAGAGAAAATTATTATTCACAGGGAGAAAAGCTTTGAACTTCCTGAGTTTAAAACCTTCAGAGAGAAATCAATTCTTCAAAATAATTGGAGAAGTACATGGTATATTATCTAAAAATTTAACTGGAGAAATTAAAACTTTTCTTCCTTCTATCTTGCCCAAACTTATGCCAAATTATATATTGACAAGATTTTAAGACCTAGAAAGAATTTTAGAGGCCCTGGCCCATTTCAGTTCTTTAAACCTGGATGGAATTGAGAACTCCTGGCCCATTCCAGGTTCTTTAAACCCAAGGACCCTCAGAAACACACTACAATGCTTGGCTGCTTCACTTTTCACCACTTGATGTCACCATTCTCCTCTCAAGCTCAGATTCAAAATCTTCCTAGCAGAGTGAGGTATGTGTGACTTTTTAAAAACATACCTGTATAGAATGAGTCAATGGCCCTAAAATGGGCTTGCAGCCAAAGCAAATCAGAGCCTCTGATAAAACACAAAACTCTCGCAGAAAATGGAAACAAATAGCTAACAACGCAAGTTTTTTATAGCTTCAGAATTTAAAATAACATTTTCATATATAATAGTAAACATTCAGAATTTCCTATGAATTCTTAATCAAGTGGAAGGTTATCTCAACTAATTAGTTTTAAGAGACTAACTCATTCATGTAAAAAGATTTTCTAACTCCTGGATAAAAAATAAACATGCCACTTCTGATTTTATACCATAAAAAAATAAAAGAATGCATGCTTTTACCATAATACAAACACATGAATCTTAATACACTTTTAGGTTAAATTACATCAGGTTAAAAATATGTAAAAAATGTTTGAAAGTCTGTTTCTTAATCTCCACTAGGCTCTAGCCATAAACCAAAAAAGTTCTAGAAAGTAACATATTTAGATGAGTAGAGGTTCAGCATATGGAACTGCACGGTGCTTATGAAAGTTTGTATAGAGAAGAGTATTTGTTTTACTTGAATATTTATTATGTTTATGAAGTATGAAATACTACAACTAAATTGTTGATGGATCTTTTGACATGCCAATAAGAAACATGTGCACATTTAAACATGTTTATAATAAAACATGTTGTTCCATTACATCCGTATATACTTGGCATTCACATTAGAAATAAACCAGCATCTGTATTGCATTACAACACACACGGGTTCCAGAGAGTCGTTTACACTTGGGGGTTAGCTTCTATTCATTTACTTGATCTTCTACAGAAAGCAGGATGCAAAATTATTCCAATATGGATCTATGCTACAGAACATGTGCTGGGGGAAACTCTTTGTTCTGTATTATGTTAGCACAAATCACAGTAAGCAGATCCAAAGAACTTTCTCTTCCTGGGGGAAAAACCCCTCTGGAAATAGTTAGCAGTCTTCAGTGCTTTTACACACATGGTTGCGCATGTGTGTGTGTGAATGTATATGTATGGTTTTTAACTTAAAATTTGCACTGTTTTTAAGAATATAGCATTGCCTACTTGGAGATAATTTGAAAGAAATATAAGGGGAAAATAGTAAGTATTTCTAGCACAAATAGACAACTGTTAGCTAGTCTTTGTTTTTATGTTATGTGTGTATACATGTGTCTGAATTTTCTTATATTAGCATGGGGGGGTGGTGAAGATTAATTCCAAAGTCTTTCTACTGTAAATAGGATACTATTATTGGATTCTTGTTTCTATCAAACACAAATAATACTACTTTTCCATGGAGGTGAACTTTTGATGAGAACCTACGAAGAATCTGCCAGAGGTATCAAAACGCAGTCAGAAGAATGTCCTCAAGTTCTCCTTACCTCATCATCATCAGCGTCATACTGCGCATAGTGCTGCTCAAGCAGCTCTCTTTGGCGCCTCTCTTGTTCCAAGGTCTGACTTATCAACTGGGCAACTTCACTCACTTGTCCTGGTTTTTCCCGCCCAATAACAAACCTGTAGGAAGGTTAAAGAATAGTAAGATCATTAGACTCACTAGGAAATGAGTACTCAGAAGAGTAAGTATGAGTCTGTTATCTCAGCAGGGTGCCTCAAGCCTCAATAAAATAGCATCTTCACCTATGCACTTTCTATGAGAAGTCTGGGTAGAAGAAACGGTTAACTGAACAATTAAGAGTAATTTTTGTGTGTGTGCTTTATTTTTTTCGCCACTGGTTTATTTACCCAATTATGAAATGGGCAAAAGATACGGAAAGAATTTTCACAGAGGAAGATATTTGAATGGCAAACAGACACATGAAGAAATGCTCCAAATCACAGGCAATAAGAGATGCAAATCAAAACCAAAATGAGGTACCATCTTACTCCAATAAGAGTGGCAAAAATAACAGGGCAACAAGTAATAGTTGTTGGAGAGGATGTGGTGAGAAAGGAACTCTTAAACATTGTTGGTGGGATTGTAAAATGGTGCAACCATTCTGGAAGGCAGTTTAGCGCTTCCTCAAAAAGCTGAACATAGAAGTTCCATATGATGCAGCTATTCCACTACTTGGAATATACCCTGAGAATATGAGAACTGAGGCACAAAGTGAGAATTGTACACCAGTGTTCATAGCAGCATTACTCACAATTGCTAGAACATAGAAACAGCCCAAATGTCCAACCACAAATGAATGCATTCAGAAATTATGGTACATTCACATAATGGAATACTATGCAGCATGCAGGAGCAAAACTTTGTAAATTTTTACCTAACTTGGGAAGGACTGGAGAGTATTATGCAGAGTGAATTAAGTAAGTCCCACAAGGATAAATATTGTATAAAACTGTTATTGTAGAATGAGTATAAGGATCCAGAAAGGTGGGAGAGGCTGGAAGCAGAGGGATGTGGATGTGCAGGGGGAAAAGGGGATTAATCATTGGGTTGTACAATTTAATGGGTTGGGGGGAGGTGAGGGAAACTGAAAGAATTTGTTCAAATTTGTGCGCCTGATACAGGCCATGGTCTTTGCAATTGCTTGTTATGCATCAGAGAGTTGGACAATGACTAGG